AGTGTGGTGCCTGATGAAGAGTTCTGCAGATACCATTTTCTCTCTCACTGTTTCTTTTTTGCATTTGAGATCTTCTCTCTCTCTCTGTTATTGTGTTTTTCCCTATTTGTCTTTGTTCTTCTCAGTCCATCCCTGTCCTCTTACCTAAGCCTGGCCTGGGTATGGGGCCACCCTCCTCTGTCCATTTCTCCTACAGACAGTGTACAGTGCCCTGGGCCTGAGGGATGCTTGCCGCTCCCTGCCCCAGTCCATTCAGCTCTTTCGGGACATTGCCCAAGAGTTCTCTGATGACCTACACCACATTGCCAGCCTCATTGGGAAAGTGGTGAGTGGAAGGAGAGAGGCAGAGCTCCTGGGAAGCTAGGGGAGAGATGGGTTTGGGTAATAGAGAACGACTGGGCTCTGGGGAATGTGGTGTGGAAGATGGGGATGCATGGGAGACACTGAGGTCAGCTGGATGACCAAGGGATGGGATGGTGAGAGGAGATGGCAAAATATCAGGGGTCTGCTTGGGGGCTTGGAGGGTTAGGGTTAAAGCAGGGACTGAAGGGGCCCAAGTAGAGGTGAGGAACAGGATGAGTTCGTGCTGGATGTAAAGAACCTGGACTTCTTGTCTCCTCAGGTGGACTTTGAGGGCAGTCTTGCTGAAAATCGCTTCACAGTCCTCCCCAACATAGATCCTGAAATTGATGAGAGTGAGTGTTAGGTGTACGGATGGGCCTGTGAGCCCTGAAACATGAGCCTGCCCAGTGATGGGGTACCATTCTCAGTAGGCGGCCACTACAACTGGGGATAATCATCGCAACCAGAGCAGGAACCTTATTTTTGATATCCACGTGTCTTTCACCCTCCTAGAAAAACGAAGGCTGACAGGACTTCCCAGTTTCCTCACTGAGGTGGCTCGGAAGGAGCTGGAAAATCTAGACCCCCGTATTCCTTCATGCAGTGTCATCTACATCCCTCTGGTGAGGGCAGGAGGGTGGGTGTGCTCCCCAGGGGATTTTTAGGGGGACATTAGGCTTATGAAGGACACATTAGTAGATAAGAAAACCCTGGGGAAATCTGAAGAACATGAATACTTTTTGGTGGCTTTAGCCCCGAGGGAAACATTGGGGGATATAGGGGACTCTGGCTTCCTCTAAGGAAAGAAAGTGCCCAGTACATCACTCTCTGCTTTATCTCTTTTCTACTCTCCGCAGATTGGCTTCCTTCTTTGTATTCCCCGCCTGCCTTCCATGGTGGAGACCAATGACTTTGAGATTGAGGGTCTGGACTTCATGGTGAGACCCTTGACCTCTGTAGGGGTTGATAAGGAAAGTGAATGAGCAGCTGAGAGGAAGGCCTTACCCCATCAGCACTGCCCAATGTGGGATCCCTCTTCTGTTGTTTTACTCTGATCTTTACCAGCTCTGAGACAAAGGAAAAAGAAATCAAGGTCAGGGCTGGAGCGGGGGTTAGAGAGAATGAGGATCGAGAGAAGCAAAGCCCATAGCTTTGAACCCTTGTATCCAGTTCCTCTCAGAGGAGAAGCTTCACTATCGTAGTGCTCGAACCAAGGAGCTGGATGCATTGCTGGGGGACCTGCACTGCGACATCCGGGGTGAGGAGAAGCGAGTGGCTGGAGCAGCGGAGCAGGCAGCATGGAGATGATTCTGATAGGCTCCTTTCCTTCCTGCCATTGCTCTCTCTTTCTCTCTCTCTCTTTCTCTCTCTGACTCTGCCTTTTCTGAATGTCTCTGGGTATTTCAGATGGTATCTGCAAGCCTGTTTCTGGGTCCCTCTGCTGGCCTCTTTGTCTCTCCTTCACTTTCCCCTGGAGCTGACCCCAAGCTCCCTCCCTTACCTGCCCCCAGACCAGGAAACCCTGCTGATGTACCAGCTGCAGTGTCAGGTGCTGGCACGGGCAGCTGTCTTGACCCGGGTGTTGGACCTCGCCTCCCGCCTGGATGTCCTCTTGGCTCTTGCCAGTGCTGCCCGGGACTATGGCTACTCAAGGCCTCGTTACTCCCTACGGCTCCTTGGGGTACGAATCCAGAATGGCAGGTGAGAACAGAAAAGGGTGGAGGCATAGACAAGAGGGGCCCAAAGGCCCCATCTTCTGCATCCACAGGCCATGTGCAAGGTACCTCTCCACCCACTGCAGGCATCCTCTGATGGAGCTCTGTGCCCGAACCTTCGTGCCCAACTCCGCAGAATGCGGGGGGTACAAAGGGAGGGTCAAAGTCATCACTGGACCCAACTCCTCAGGGAAGAGCATATACCTCAAACAGGTAGAGGAATCCCTACAAACTGGGCCTCTGGAATCTTCTCCATTGTCTCCATCCCCCACCTGCCAGTCAACCCAGGTCCCTACAGCTCTTCTCCCCCTGTGTTCTGACCCCAGCTGTCATGAAAAGACCGTAACCCACACCCGCCGCTCCTCTTCCTCCCAAGTTCTCATTCTCTACCTGAGGGAGCGCCATGCTCTAATGATCGTTCCATGGCCTGAATTCTCCGCCGCCGCCTCTGAATTAAAGTGTGCCTTTGCTCACTCCCTGCCCTTTACTGATTCTAAAGCGAGCAGAAGGGGCTGTGATCTTCTGTTAAACTATGTCCATCTCTCTTGATCTATTGTTCTCCCCTCAGTTTAGCCTCACCTTCACCTCAGCCACACGAGGCACCGGGCCCTTTCTCCTCCCCTATTCAGGTAGGCTTGATCACATTCATGGCCCTGGTGGGCAGCTTTGTGCCAGCAGAGGAAGCCGAAATCGGGACAGTAGACGCCATCTTCACCCGAATCCATAGCTGTGAATCCATCTCCCTTGGCCTCTCTACCTTCATGATCGACCTCAACCAGGTCAAAAGGAGGGAGGGTTGGGGGAGGGGATAATGGGGAAGGAACCCTACCCGTGAAAAATGTCAGGAAAAACGTTCCTTCTGCCTGCTCTCTAAACTAGGGGCAGGGAGCACCCAGTTCAGAGACCAGGAGAATCAATACCGCGAACCTTTATCGATCCCCGGCTTTGTGTCAGGCACTGTTGGCAATGAAAGGATGAACAAAACATGTGTCTCGCCATTAAAGAACTTGCGGTCCTGTTGGGTGGACACATACACAAGCAGCTTTACTGCCAGGCAGACTGTGGTCAGTGCATTACAGGCCTCGAATGTTTCTGAAACTATCCCTTGTCCACCTGGTACCCAGCAGGTGGCGAAAGCAGTGAACAATGCCACAGAGCGGTCGCTGGTCCTTATCGATGAATTCGGAAAGGGAACCAACACGGTAAGGGGAGAAGCCGTTGAGGAGCTAAGGAGGGGAAAATGAAGGAGGGATAAGGAACAAGAGGGTGTGGCTGCGCCTCTGGAAAAGAATAGGGGTGTGTGGGTGGAAAAGAAACAGTGTGAGGCGGGAGAGGCCTGGCAGGAGAGGGGCGCACGGGGCACCCGTGGTTCCACAGCCTCACCCCTGCCCTCTGCACAGGTGGATGGGCTTGCGCTTCTGGCGGCCGTGATCCGACACTGGCTGGCGCTTGGGCCCACGTGCCCCCACATCTTCGTGGCCACCAACTTTCTGAGCCTCATTCAGCTACAGCTGCTGCCACAGGGGCCCCTCGTGCAGTATTTGGTGAGGAACCTATGCAGCTCCCTAGGGGCCCCTAGACCGAGCATTTCCCAGAGCTGGGCACTGGCTTCTCCGTCAGAACAGGGGCTCCTTGAGCACAGGGACCATGTCCCTTCCTGTTTCTCACTCTCCACAGCAACTGACCAAGGGACTGGGGCAGGAAGCAGAATGACTGATAACATTCCCCTTTCATTCTCTTTTAAGACCATGGAGACCTGTGAAGATGGGAATGACCTTGTCTTCTTCTATCAGGTTTGCGAAGGTGTTGCCAATGCCAGCCATGCCTCCCACACAGCTGCCCAGGCTGGGCTTCCTGAGAAACTCATTGCTCGTGGCAAGGAGGTGAGGTCCAAACAGCAACCGCCTCCACTGTCCCTGCTTCTCTGAGGGACCTGGATTTCTGGGCCCATAGGATGTCTGACCCTTACTCTCTCTTCTCTTACCCAACACCCACTCCCACCCCTGCCCCTTCCTCCTTGGTCCTAGGTCTCAGACTTGATCTGCAGTGGAAAGCCCATCAAGCCTGTCAAGGAGCTGCTAAAGGAGAAACAAAAGGAAAAGTGAGTCCAGGCCCAGGGTCCTTGTTCTCTCTAGCATGTTCTGCAGCTCTTCTACCCCTTTCAGGGACTCAGATAGCCTCTTGCCCTTTAAAGATTCAAAATTTCTTCTGAAATTTCTAAATTCTCAAGGTCTTGGGTTTCCTGTGCTGCATCCTCTTCCCTCTGCTCAGGGATTCTGTTATCCATGCTTCCATAAGTCTCACTGTTCTCTCTCCCCTCAGTTGCCAGATGTTAGTAGACAAGTTTCTGAAACTGGATTTGGAAGATCCCAGTCTGGACCTGGACATTTTCATGAGTCAGGAAGTGCTGCCTGCTGCCACCACCATCCTCTGAGAGTCCTTCCTGGGCTCTCCTCCACATCCCAAACCCCGGGAGGCTGCCAGGCCCTCTTTGTTTCCTTACCTCCTTCATACCCAGAGTTCTCAGTTTCCCTGGAAATTTTGTTTCGTGTTAGTAATAAAGTTTATTTTGGAGAAAGTTATTGTTTCCTTAGACGAGCCAAAACAAAACAAGAGAGTAGGAAGGAGATGAAATAGGAAGCAGCAGGCCACAGAGGGACCTGCCCTGCCTCATTAAAAATAAAGTATCACTGCTGGAGGGAGGCCCTCGGGTTCTACCCAGGGGGACTTTATGAGAACCAACCACTTCAACAGACCCTACAAAAACAGATGAGAGAGAAGACAGGAGCCCAAGGGAGATGTTCTTTCCCCTCAAAGTAGGAACACCTCAGCCTGAGACAGACCCAGCAGGAAGGGCTCTGGGAGGCTGAAAGACTAGGCAGGACCGGTGCAAGTCTGGGGGAAAGGGAGGGACCAGCCCTGCACCAGTGGGTGTGGCTCCACCCTTCCCACCTCAGAGCCATGGGGAGCCAGGGTCCTGGTGGGCTGCCCCTGGTGCAGGCCCCCTACACGGTTCTGCTGCTGCCACTGGAGACAAGCCGCCAAGACCCAGGGGCCCAGCGCTTCTTCCTCTGGGTGAGTATCAGTCCCGCAAGAGGTCCCGGGGAAGCCCCTCTCCCTAGATCAGTCTCCTGCAATTCCACTCAATTTTGAGGACTCCTAAGTTCAGCCCATTGCTTTCCCTTGCCCTCCAGGACCTCAGTGGCCAGTCTGGGTTCACACTCAGTGACCAGATAGTGAACTGAACCACGGGTTAAGAGTGAGGGCCATGCATGGCCCAGAACCCTGCCTGTGGAGTGAGTCAGCCTCTGCTTCTTGCCTTTTTCAGCTGCAGAGGATGCAGGCTCTGGAGCGGGAACAGGATGCCCTGTGGCAGGGGCTGGAGCTGCTGGAGCATAGCCAGGCCTGGTATGAGGGCCGTCTGAGGGAGGCCCAGCAACAGCAGCTATATCTGGGGGCCCTTGGTGAGGTATGGGGCTGACCCATGGTATGTGGGGGCAGGGGTAGCAGGGACGTGTGGACACAGCCTGACACCATCCTGGAAAGGCAAGAGTTAATGGACAGGGATCATCAATTGGAAGCAGCATTGTAATGACAGGATGCCACCAAGTGTTAGGTCGGCTCATTGTTGGGCCTAGAGGAGGCTGGTCTGCATTCCATTCAGAGGGACACAATTTGGCTCACTCCACGGAGATGGGGGAGTGGTCTGGATTGTTCCAGTGAGTCAGGGATAGACAGGAGGGAGGATCCAAAGAATAGAGAAAGCGGGTACTATGCTATTTGAGGGGGTTGGAGGAACTGGACTACTAAAGAGATGGAGTGGAGAGTACTGGAATTTCCCACCTGCCTGGCAGGGAATTGGGATGAGGGGATCCAGATGGAGGAGAGGAATGACCTGTGGTGATAGAAGAGTGGCAGATGGTACTCGAGTTTTCACCACGTTGTCTGCCTCTAACTCCTCCTTTTAGAATTTTCCAACAGATTTACACTCAGAGCCTGGTGGCCCCCAGTTAGTCCAGATTCAAAAGGTGAACATCTGTTTGCAGAATCTGATTCAGGGGAAGGTGAGTTTATTGTTTTTAGTTTACTCTTGGGAAGTGGGGGTAAAGAGGGGACTTGGGGTCAGCACTGGTCTAACAAAACAGCGAATTCCGCCCCCCCCACAGTTCTCCCCACATCCCCTGAACAAAGCTAGTACCTGCGCCACCCAGGACTGGAAGGGAAGGCCAAGGAAGCAGAACGTGTGGCAGCAACACGTAAGCAGTAAAGGAGTAGGGGGAGGTTGGAAGCCCTGGCCCTCAGTGGGAGGAAGGGCACAGACACCCAGATTGTCTCCCTCCTCTTCTCCAGGTGGTGTCAAGGCAGCAGAAAGGAGTCACTAAGCCAAAGGGGGAGATGGCTCAGCCAGGCTGCCCCAATGGACGGAGGGGCCCTACCCGTGTCTAATGTCTCCTCTGGTTCCCCTCAGTTGTGCTGGCAAGGCTGAGTCAGAACCCCCAGCCTCCTTATTCTGCTTCTTGACTCAATAGCTAAATGGCTCCAGGTGGTGGGTCAACTGAAATCCTGACATCTTGCTGTGAAATTTCTTCTCCACTCCTGAAAACTTCCATTTCATCTTTTTGGTATCTTATGCTCTCACTCTTTC